CTTTGTAGCCGATCCATCATCCAAGATGGCTGCCAGCGGGGGACTTAGTTTAACATAGGACCCTATGGGAAATACATACAAATGTCTTCTTTTAGAGAACCATTGAATGGAATGGAACCAAACATGGCATGAATGTTCCTTATGAGGTGCTTACCAAGTGTTGTTACTTTGCAGTCGGTCCATCATCCAAGATGGCCGCCAGGGGGGGACTTAGTTTAACATAGGACCCTAAGGGAATTACATACAAATGTCTTCTTTTAGAGAACCACTGAATGGAATGGAACCAAACATGGCATGAATGTTCCTTATGAGGTGTTGACCAAGTGTTGTTACTTTGCAGTTGGTCCATCATCCAAGATGGCTGCCAGCGGGGGACTTAGTTTAAGATAGGACCCTATGGGAAATACATACAAATGTCTTCTTTTAGAGAGCCAGTGTATGGAATGGAACCAAACATGGCATGCATGTTCCTTATGAGGTGCTGACCAAGTGTTGTTACTTGACAGTGGGTCCATCATCCAAGATGGCCGCCAGGGGGGGGGGGGCTTAGTTTAACATCGGACCCTTTGGGAATTACATACAAATGTCTTCTTTTAGAGAACCACTGAATGGAATGAAACCAAACATGGCATGAATGGTCCTTATGAGGTGCTGACCAAGTGTTGTCACATTGCAGCGGATCCATCATCCAAGATGGCCACCAGGGGGGACTTAGTTTAACATAGGACCCTATGGGAAATACATACAAATGTCTTCTTTTAGAGTACCACTGAATGGAATGAAACCAAACATGGCATGAATGTTCCTTATGAGGTGCTGACCAAGTGTTGCTTCTTTGTTGCCGATTTACTGTTCAAGATGGCCACCAGGATATTTTATTAAATAACGGAGACCAATATTAAACCAAATTTGGCCTCAATCATTATTTGGGTATCTGTTATGATTTTTATCTATCTTTACATGATTTCTGAAACCAAAGTAGAGTCAGGTGAGCGACACAGGCTCTTGAGAGCCTCTAGTTATATCTTGCATTAAAATAAAATTTAAAATGATTTGATCAGCTTTTATTTTTACTTAAATCCTTTAAATTTAAGTTTGGCCTTAGGAGTCCAGGCATGATGAAAACAAATACCAAATGCAGAGCCAACTAATGCGTTCCATGACAAATGATTACATTTTTAACAATGTAAATTAGATGAAACTCACAAGGCTAAACAGATGCTGAATTTATTCATTGCATTTTTATTATCATTATCAAACTTTTTCACTGAAATTCTGAAGTATTGACCCTTTTTATCTTGCATTAAATTCATATTTCAAAGTTTCGATCAAATTTTATTTTTATTTAAATCTTTTAAATTTCAGTTTGGTCTTGGGAGTCTAGGCATGACAAAATCAAATATGCAACATATTTGTAGAACCACATCAGTCATAGTAATTTTCAAGTGTTTCTCCTGAGAGTTGTCCTTCATTGTTAATGTTTTGTGACTTCCTGATGTGTCTGCAGTATTACTATTTCAATGTGAAACAGTGTCCACATTCGCCCACCAGACAACACAACAGAATTTTAGAGTGCAAATGCGCCTGCTGGCACCCACAAGAATCCACCCCTGCACAAGTCATTATCAAAATTCGCCATCAGACAACACAAGTCTGTGTCCACATTTGTAACATATAAGAAGAAATATTTTTGAAACAAGATGTTAAAAGGCCACACCAAATTAATTTCTAGTTCTTCGGACCCCTACTGTAGAATAAGAGGAGTGAACATGAATAATTTTATTTTACTCGCATGACATAATTATTGTTGTTTTGTAGACAGTGACACAGAAGATGACTACATTGATGTTAGAAAAGCAAAGCACAAAATAGGTGAGAACAAAGAATTAATTAAAATATGTTAAAGGCATGAAACTTGGACAGAAGCTTAACAGTATTCAGAGGAAAATTTGAAAAGTATTTATTCTCATTTTCCGTGTTTTATTGATAAATGGACATATTTTTTCTGCATCTAACATTGATATACAGTCTAAGATTAAAGTTTTTCAAACACCAATAACCATTATAAGATTTTACGAAACTTTGACAGATGCTTCTTATGATCAAAAGACAGTATCAAGAACAATATTTTGAAATTATTTTTTTCATTTTCCCTAATAAACATGATAAACTGAATAATAGAAATTTACAAATGGACTTAAAGTCTTGGGTTAAATTTTTATGACATCAATAACTTTGTTTATCCTTCATGGAATGTTACGAAACTTAGACAAGTATCTCCATGATTAAGAAATAGCATCTGAAAAAAAACATTAGATTTACAAAAGAAAATTCAGATATAACTGATAAATGGACAAGTTCGGTTGTTGGCAACCTCACACTTTAACATCAACAGCAGCAATAGCAGGCGAGACACATGATTACGCCAAACCCATTAAAAATTTATATTTATCCAACATATACACTTATGTTGAAAAAGACTTATCTGACTTTACGTCAATACTATCTACTGTTCACTAATGTTGAAATTAGAGTTATCTGAGTAAATTTATAATTTTTCAAGTTTTCTTTTTTCTCAAAAAAGGAAAGTTTATTATATTGTCACTGAATAAAAGATTTGGCTTATGTATCAATGAGACTTCGAATCATGTCTTTCCATTTAAGACCAGGCGATATTTAAAAAAAGTCTGTTCCCCAAACCTTGGTCATGGTTTTTAGATAGAATAGACTGGCAAGTATTTTTTTAGAATTGCAAGGCTCTGATATTTCTCCAAACAACTTTATCTTTTATTCTTTTTAATTTTAGCCAGGAAACATGAAAAAACATCAAAGGTATTAAAAGACAAGGAGACTGACTTCAATGTTATAAACAGCCTTGTGAGAAAAAATGTTTAAGTACCAGTAACATTCAGACAATACAGACCTGTCAAGCTATGTTGTATAAAAAGACCCATGAGGAACAGTCAAATTTCATTGAGTGAAACATAAGGTATACTCAATATATATATATATGAATAGAATTTATTTGATTGTTTGATATGCAACAATACTTGGATTTATACAATTTCATAATGCTATATAACATGCTATAATTTGGTTGAGAAAACCATATTAAACCACCAAACCAATAACTGGCAAGTACATGTACTTTCACATACTGATATACTGAGTGTACATGCTGCCTTCTGCTTATAGCTACCTTAACTTATTAAGAAGTCTAATAGAACTTAATTTAAAGTAAGTTTTATTTAGATATTTTTTTGTTTTGTCTGCAACAAAGATAGCAGACTTCTAGTAGAAAAATAAAAAGATGTGGTATGATTGCCAATGAGACAACTCTCTACCAGAGACCACATGACGTAGAATTTAACAACTATAGGTCACCGTACGGCCTTCAACAATGAGCAAAACCCATACCGCATAGTAAGCTATAAAAGACCCCGAAATGAAAAATGTAAAACAATTCATACTAGATAACTAATGGCCTGATTTATGTACAAAACAATAAACGAAAAACAAATATGATATACAGCAACAAATGACAACCACTAAATTACAGGCTCCTGACTTGGGACAGGCACATACATAATGTGGCGGGGTTAAACATGTTTGAAGGCGCCAACCCTCCCCTAACCTGGGACAATGGTGCAACGACACAACACAAGAACAAACTATGGTGTTTATTTTCTAAAAAATAATATGTCTCATGATACATACAAATAATGTAGGGATATCCTTTATAAATTTTACTCATTTCTTTCAGATCAGATGAAAACATGTGTTCTTGAGATCTATTTACATTTTTAAGTCTCCCAAACGAAGTTTGGGAAGACTAATTGTTTTTGCTCAGTTCTTATTATTATTATTATTCTTCTTCCTCTTCCGCCGGTTTTAAATATGAACTTGTCAGCCCCCGTTCTCCAAAACCGCTTGTCCGATTAACTTAGGGTTTCACAATATGTTAGACTAACATGTCTAGTGGTGCAATCAGGGTTTTGTTTGTGCAATGGGGTTTATAAAGGGGTACTTTGAGGGGCAAAAAGAAAAGAGGGTTTTACTATAGAACCCTATGGGATTTTATTTTTTTAAATTTTCAAATGATTATAAATTGAAAACCGTTTGTGATAAACACAATCTTTTTAATTGAAAATGTTCTTAATGATAAAGCCCATTAAATGAAATACAGGGTTAGTCCCCAGGGGTCACCCCCACCCCCTGCCATTTAAGAAAGTTCTAATACCTTGTAAGTGGTCAAGATCCCCACCCCTAAACCATATATATTTTGGTTTGTCATGCTAAGATGGTTTGAATGATATACAGGGTTAGTCCCCAGGGGTCATCCCGACCCCCTGCCATTTGAGAAAGTTCTAATATCTTGTAAATGGTCGAGATCCCCACCCCTAAACCATATATATTCTGGTTTGTCATGATAAGGCACATCAAATGAAATACAGGGTTAGTCCCCAGGGGTCACCCCCACCCCCTGCCATTTAAGAAAGTTCTAATATCTTGTAAGTGGTCAAGATCCCCACCCCTAAACCATATATATTCTGGTTTGTCATGCTAAGATGGTTTGAATGATATACAGGGTTAGTCCCCAGGGGTCATCCCGACCCCTGCCATTTGAGAAAGTTCTTATATCTTGTAAATGGTTGAGATCCCCACCCCTAAACCATATATATTCCTGTTCGTCATGTAACGAACATTTGAATGACGTATAGGGTCAGTCCCCAGGGGTTCCCCCCACCCCTAAACCATATATATTCTGGTTTGTCATGCCAAGATGATTTGAATGATATACAGGGTTAGTCCCCAGGCATCACTAATGCATATAACTTTACTGGACCAAACCAATTTTCACTGGACGTTGCCCAATGTCAGGCGACCCTGGGAATTACGAATTATGGGAGCTTCGTTTGGGAGACTTCGTAACAGCATCCTGTTACAATCATTTCTTGTTCCAAGTGTTTTTTATTTTTGTACACAGGTACAATGATGCCAGTTTAGAAGACAAACATTTGACTTTTGTGCTGACTGGTAGGAGAGTATGTGAATATGCATGGAGGATTGTGTATGGCATAAAAAGAAGGAGGTATAATACCATATTAGTATGAATAAAATAGTTAATAGGCTACACATCCATAAGACAGCAACCCAACATCAAAAGTAGCGATTCAACATTCTGTTGTAGTTTGCCTGGTTAATTTTTAATATATACAACATTTGTATTTAAAAAGGAGATGTGGTATAATTGCCAATGAAACAACTATCCATGACGAGGATGCAAACAACTACATGTCACTGTAAGGCCTTTAACAAAGAAAAACCCATTTTGTATAGTAAGCTATAAAAGCTCACAGAATGTGAATCAATTCAAACAAGAAATCCAACAGCCTAATTTATGCTAAAGCAATAAACAAAAACAAAATATGACAGACAGCAATCAACAACCATTGATTTACCAGGTCCTGACTTGGGACAGGCACATAAAGAATGTGGCAGGGTTAAACATATTCGAGCTGGCTGAACCCTCCCCCTAGTATGCTCAGTCTGTGGCTCCATTTTTTAGACATAAATAACTTTTGTCAAACACTCATGTAATTTATACCAAGGGTGCCACATGTGGAGCAGGATCTGCTTACCCTTCCGGAGCACCTGAGATCACCCCCGGTTTTTGATGGGGTTCGTGTTGCTCAGTCTTTAGTTTTCTATGTTGTGTTTTGTATACTGTTGTTTGTCTTTTGGTCTTTTTGCATTTTTAAGTAAAAGTTAAGGTACAGTCTGGAGGTTTTTTTTTAACAATTTACTTGAACGGTGTTCAATTTCCACAGTTAAAACAAATTGGAAAATGTTTGTTATGACAAAAGACAAAATTTCAATAAAAGGATTGGTCAAATGGATCCCAAATAACCGAAGAAAAAAACACATGAATTAGGAGTGGTATAAGCCCTGTAATATTTTTTACATTTATAACATTCAGGTATTACTACATGAAAAAGAAATGTTTGTCTACTAACGAAGATTTAGACAGTTCTGATAAAAGATGTAGCCAACAATACAAGAGTCGCCAGTACCTTGAAGCAAAGAGTTTTGTGTCTGGTCTATGCAAGAGATATGGTGATGATCAGCCTGACATACTAGAAATACATTTTCCATCATGTCTCTCTATTCTACAAGTTTGGACGGATTATAAATCTTCCTGTGAGAATTTAGAATCCCCTATTTGTCTTACCCAAGGTTCTATGGAATGTGGAGTGAAGAGTTTCCTCATGTTAAAATTCCAAAGGTTTGTATGGAATAATATTCAGAACAAAGGTGTTGGTTTATGAACATGATGAAGGGTCAATAATGGCTCTTAAATTCATTGAAATTCATTTCAAGGTATAATCAGTAAAAATTTGATAACAAAATATGCAGATGTCTAAATCATATCTGAAAAATAGGAAATCATCAAGGTCTGACACATCTCAACAGTAATTATGCCAATGCTTTACCTAAAAACATATGCTATCAAATGTATTTTACAAAGATGTTAATGTGTATAAAATATATTTTTGGGTAAAGTCATGACAGACATCAATTTTGTCCAAAAACTATGTGTTAAATGGTCAAATATGTTAATGTCAACATGTTTATGAAAAAAAATTTCCTTTCTGCACTCAAGTATAAAATAAGTAATGTGGTATGATTGCCAATGAGACAACTATCCTATAGAGTCCAAATGACATGGATTTAAGCAACTAAAGGTCACCTTAGGCCTTCAAAAATTAGAATAATTACTATATTTCAACCTTTTTATTTATAAAAAAAAATGAACTTAATGTTGAAAGTCTTGAATAACTTAACTTTTTTTGAAATTTCATTGGCCTGATAAAGGCTATTTATATCATACCTCCTGCTTTATGGCAGATAGTTAACACTTCCGTCATATAAAAAAAATGTCCATTCATGCATAAATTAATAATTGTACATAGAATTAAATAGATGTCCTTTTTGTTGAGCCTGCGACATTTATGTCGCGAAAGCGAGACATAGCGATCCTAGATTCCTTCGTCGGCGGCGTCAATATTTAGGTTCAGTCTGTGGTTAAAGTTTTTTTAGACATCAATAACTTTGTCAAACCTTCATGGAATTTTAGGAAATTCGGACAGAAGCTTGTTTATGACCAAAATACAGTATCCAGAGCAAAATTTTGAAAATATTTTATTTTCATTTTTCCGTATTTTACTGATAAATGGACTTAGTTTTTTTTTACAGTTAACATTCAGATTTAGTCTGAGGTTAAAGTTTTTCAGTCATCAATAATTTTGTCAAACTTTCATGGAATATTAGGAAATTTGGACAGAAGCTTGTTTATGACCAAAAGACAGTATCCAGGGCAAAATTTTGAAAATATTTATTTTCATTTTTCCGTATTTTACTGATAAATGGACTTAGTTTTTTTTACAGTTAACATTCAGATTTAGTCTGAGATTAAAGTTTTTCAGTCATCAGTAACTTTGTCAAACCTTCATGGAATTTTAGGAAATTGGGACAGAAGCTTGTTTATGACCAAAATACAGTATCCAGAGCAAAATTTTGAAAATATTTATTTTCATTTTTCCGTATTTTACTGATAATGGACTTGTGTATTTTACTGATAAATAGACTTAGTTATTTTTACATTTAACAAATAGATACAGACTGGGGTTAAAGTTTGTTACACATCAATTACTTTATCAAACCTTCATAGAATTTAATGAAACTTTGGCAGAAGCTTTTTTATAATTAAGAGATAATGTCTGAAGCAAACTTTTGAAAATATATTTTTTTCATTTTCAGTATTTTTCTGATAGATGGACTTAGTTTTTTACAGTTAACATTTACAGACAGTTTGGGATTCAACTTTTTTGACATGATAAATTTGTAAACCTTCATAGATTGTTATGTAACTTGGACAGAAGCTAATCTTCAAGACCATGAAAAAAGCATCTAAAGAAAAAGTTTGATTTTTTTTTTTAAATTCTGTATTTTACTGATAAATGGACTCACTTTTTAAGTCAACATTACACTTTTACACTGACAGCAGCAATAGCAGGCGAGACACAGGGTTCTGCAGAACCTCTTACGAATTTTTTATTTGTAGTATCAGAAGCTCAGCAAATGTAACGAGTGTGTAATCTTTAAAGAGACCATCAGCGAAAAACTGACAAAGATTGATTTGGGGTGCTGAAGGACAAGAGAAGATCTAGAGCACATATGCTTCTTCAATAGTAAGAATTCTTTCCACACTTGAATATGAATTTCTTGTATTTTTCATGTTTAATGCAGATAAATCCCCATTTTTAGCTCACCTGACCCAAAGGGCAAAGTGAGCATTTCTCATCACTTGTCGTCCGTCATTTTTCATTAAAATGTTCTCCTCTGAAAGAACTGGGCCAAATTTAACCAAATTTGGCCACAATCATCATTGGGGTATTTAGTATAAAAAAGGTGGTCAATGACCATGCCTGCCAACCAAAATGGCTGACAGGGCTAAAAATAGAACATAGGGGTAAAATGCAAGTTTTGTCTATTATATTGAAAACTGCTATTAATAGAGATAAATCTGACAGGGCAGAAATGTTCAGAATGTTGTGATCTACCTTCTGTCCATTTACATCAAAACCGTCAGTTGACTCTTTATTGGAGTTATTGGTCTTAAATGGCGATATTTACCAATTTTTAGTGTTTTTGCCTATTATCTTGAAAACTATAAAAGATAGATACACTTTAAAAAGCAAAAATGATTAGCAAGACAAGATCTACAAACAAGTTAAATTTTGCTGAAATCTTTAGTAGACACTTTATATGAGTGATTGCCCTTAAATTACTGTTTTTTTTACCCTTTTTTGTGTTTTGGGCAAAAACTAAAGAAGATGGAGAGAAACTATCAACAGAAAAATGATCAGCAATACAATATCAACAAAAAAGAGATTATTGTCATAAATTCTATTTTAGTCTACAATGTTGGAGAATGTCCATTGTTGAAGATGCACATAGACCTAGGTGAGCGACACAGGCTCTTTAGTTTAGTCACCCCCATGCATAGGTATAAAGATAGTTTACGCTTCCTAACATCACTACACCTTGATGTTGGGTAATGAAACCTGGCATGATTAATCACCACTTCTAGAAGGTGTGTTGGGTATAAGGAAGTCATGGTCATAGAATTAGCGCAACTTAGTCGTGCATCCATGTGCGTATTTATTTTTTTTAAATACATTTTTTTTCTCTAACTTTAAAACCCGTTTGAGTTTTGGGGTGTATTGATAGTGGTGCATCAGTGAAATTCTGCAATTTGTGGGTATATTGTATATATTTTGATTTTTTTTTCAGTCTCTGCAGAGAAAAATATTTTAAACACATCAAGAAATCCAAAGAACATCCAAGCATGTATACATCTGTTATCAGTGACAATATGGATCAGTTCAAAACAAATCTGCCAAGATTTACGTTACATTTTAAGGTGAGTTTATTTTGGAAGTGTGTATAAAATTGCAAAGTCCATTATGTCTATACAACTAGATTTAGGTTATCTGGTCTGACCACTGGGATGATACATCACTACATACTTCTTACATAATACATTTCATGGTAGTTACTTTTATGTATATTTCTGAAAAGAACATGATATTTCACTGCAATAATCAATTTCAATATTGAAAACGGGTTGACAGTGTTAGATTAATCATATTTGTACTTTATAAAATCACTTTTACAAATATTTGGTATATCATTCGAATGGTCTCTTTTAATTTTGCTACGAATGTCAGGCAAATGTTAGAATTTGTGATAAGGTCACACATGGGAAACCTATCTCTGTGTTGACATTTTATTTAGTACTATATTTACTTGTTATTAAATGATTGATTAACTTAAGGCGAAGCAGCAATCATATGAACTAACTGGATGTGTAGCTAAAATAAACATTCTGACAGGAAAAAAACTTCTAGCAGTATTTATTTTCTTTTAGGCATTTTGTATGAGACAAATATTATACCATTCTAGAAGGGGGGGCTATATTGGTATCACCTTGTCTATCTGTTTGTACAACAAATATTTCGTTAAACTTTTCTAGAAACTACTAAACAGAATGACTTCATATTTGGTCAGCAGCTTGACAGTGATGACTTGTAATATGTGAAGTATCTGAAGATCTGTCAGATACCTACTTCCTGTTTGCTAATACTTTGAATTTTTCAATATTTGAATGAACTTAACCTTTTTTGTCACATTTTTCTCAGAAACTACTGAACACAATGACTTTTTATTTGGTCAGCTGCTCAACAGAGATGAGTTGTTAAGTGTGCACCTTTCAGATATGTCAGATAACTACTTCCTGTTTGCCAATATTTTGAATTGTGAGTGCATTCTGGTTTGAGTTATGAGCACATGTTTTTCAACAAATTTTTTTTCACATGTCACAGGTGTTTTATGTCACGGATTAAATAAGGCATACACATTTACATGGACAGATCAGTTTTCCTCTGATTGTAATATCACCTTGAATTGTTTGATGTCTGTGTTAGGCGATGTAACAAAAGTAAGTATTAATTATCAAGTTCAAAGTGAAACAATTGACTAAAGTTCACATGCAGGAGAAAAACACATTTTTATTAACTTTACAATTTATGTATCTACAAGAAAGTCAAAGTGTATGGAAGCCACTTTTAGTCCATTAATTTTAAACATCAAAGAACCATCTACAATATAAAAATTAAGAGATGTGGTATGATTGCCAATGAGACAACTATCCAAAGAGTTCACATGATAAAGTCATGAAAAATAACAGATGAGTCCAATCTAGCATATCATATTAAATTGGAAATAATAATTTGACAAGGTTGCTTTAAAACCCTTAAAGTTAGATACATCGATATCACTAACAGTTATAAACTTATATGAACTTTTCATTATTGGACTGTGTGGTGCCAAGTTTGCAACAAGTATGGAAATCAGTATGAAATTTTGGTGGCTTCATTTTCATGACTATGATAAACATCATAAGAGGATAGGCCTATAATTGCTTTTCTTTTATGAATACAATTATAGTATTGTTTTTAACCCTGCTTTGTAGGCTATTCTCAAAATCAATACTTAAAAGTCATTGACAGATGTGGTGGGTGTAATGTTGCTATATATTTCATATATAGCTAAGGATAGGTACGATTGCCAATGAAACAATAATGCATAAAGACTAACGGACAATGATGTTGACTATTGCAGGTCAAAGTATGGCCTTCTGCAGTGAGCAAAACCCATACCATATACTTAGCTAAAATGCCATGTGATGACAAAATGGAAAACAAATTCAAAAAAGAAAACCAACAGCATGCTTGTGTCAATCTCTTGCTGACCCTGATAGTTTTAAAAAACAATTCTGAAAGTCTATTTTGTTTACTTTTGCACTTGAACACTATGTAAATCTCATTTGATGGAGGATTATTTTCACATTCACATTTCTGAATTATATATATATCTAAATGCATGAACATCTATATGCATGAACATTATTAATAATATAGTCTATAAATTTCAATTGCATTTTTATTTTCTGTGGTATTTAATGGTTTTCTTTATACCAAAAATTAAGTAAAATATTATGGAAAAATAAGCAAAATTTTTGGCTGGGAAACCGGATTATAGTATGGTGATGATGGGCAGGCAGGCGGGCGGGGAAAAGTGGGTACCTAATTTGTGTAATCAACTCCACCTATAGTTTTCAACCCAGATCCCTGAAACTTCACAGGAAGATTGCACATATGTGAAAGTTGTGCACCTGCTATTATGGAATTGTTTGAGGAATTTTTTCTCATTTTTCCAGACTTGGAAACTTAGTCATTTTTCAGCAAAATTTATGAAAGAGGGTACAAGTTTTTGTGTAATCAACTCCTACAGTTTTCAACCCAGATACCCATAGACCATTCTCCATTGTTTAAGAAACAATGTGTGCAACCCAGTCATTTTAGTCTTTGATCTATTTTTTTTCGAAGAAATATGATAAATTCACTGAAAAAGTGGAGAACAAATTGCCTATCTCATGATAAGAGGTGAAATGAAACAATTTATTCATGCAGTTTCACCATAAATTAACATTGTTGAAAATACATCTTTTCTTAAAATTCAGCTGTGTTACTTTAACTTTGGCATACTTTATATGCTAGGTAATATGTCTTGTTCAGTATTAAAGGATTGGAAAACTTTTTATTGTAAAGATATCATGAATATATAATATGTATAGCTGTTTCACTTTTTTTCTTTTAGGAAAATGGTGGTTTACCTCCTACACTTTATATTCAAACTGATGACAACAAAAATAAATTTGTGATAATGTTCCTAGCAATATTGGTGAAAATGGAAATTGTAAAAAAGGTAATTATTTATTTTATTCTTTTGCATTTTTTTACTGATAGATGGACTTACCATGGTAACAAAATTTGGTATTTGAATATTATTATAGAAGTTCTTTTGCATACATGTATGATTGTTTGTTATCCTTACTTCCAGTTACTGTTAAATTAAGACATTACAGCATGCAAAACATTTTTAGTTCCAATATTCGTTTATTGCAAATTTAAACACTTTATCACTATATCATGTATATGTTTGTCATTACAAAATTTCACAAAATTTCCTATAAAATTATATCATCAAAAGAGAAAATGTTTCACATAACAAAGCAAAAGTGCTAGTCGTATGACTTTATAGTAGGTCAGATGTCACAGAATCTAAAAATCACAATTGATTCAATTGCTTAAAATGTACTGAAATTCTAAAGTTCATTTAAAAACACAGATTAAGAGTTCAACTTGATCATTTGATCAGTGACACTGCCTTGAGCAGCTTGTCAAGTTTGTAAATTGTCAGTAAAATGTATAGATGCCAAAAATTACGATTTTCAGTAATTGGAATTATTTCCCGACCATAGACCATAACGTGCTATAGTCCATATTTTGCTTGTTTTTGTTCTGTTAATTATTTGTGTTGAACAGAACAGTCCCCACTAGATATTGTGGTGATCATATTGAGACTTGATTTTCTGTTATTATCCTGCACCAAAAAAGGGTTGGCATCTATGTAATTTTATTTGAACTATATGAGAATTGGAATTGAAGCATTAGTTACTTATTTCAAATCTATATCTATTTATGTTTTTTTTGACAGATCAAGCTGACATTCCTCATGGTTGGTAGAACCGAATATGGAAAAAATTAGTGGTATCATTCTGTTGATGAGAACAGATCTACCAAAATGGGTAAAGAATGGTAAACTAAATAGAGAAGATGAACTTTGGTGGATCAACTACTTATCAGCCTTGGAGAAGAGAAGACGTCCTGCGCCAAAGACTCCCTTGCCACAAAATATGGGAAGATACAAGAAACCACAACATCCACAACCAGCTATGGAGGATTATATGTTGGCGGCAATTAACAACCACATACAGACATTTAATAGGAACACCAATGTCAGGATTGTCACACATCGACCACGGGTTTAAGACCTCAAAACTGATTTTTATTACTGAATTGTATTTTTTATATTTTGTCTGTAATGAACCTCATAGGAACATTTGATAGATAAACCATCTTCTAATGAGCACTGTGCTGCCAAATTTGTGTTGCTATTAATGAAATGACTACAGTATGTTTTGTGTCAAGTTTAATTCCCAGAAACTTGTAGCTATGTATAATATTTCACTCTCTTATTAAGTTGCTATACAGCAAAATTTCAGTCACTATCACAAAGTGTTGTTCTTGAGTGACTTTCGAAATATCTGTAGTAATAAATCATTCTACAGCTGCCCTTTTGTAAAGACAGCTCTGCAATATAGAAGTGACAATGATTTGAGTTAAAGCTGTAGTGACTTTATCAAATTTTACTTCATGAGTTTATTTTTTAAAGCAAAATGGAATATATATATCAATGAACATGTTAGTAATGTATCATTTCAAACCGTTTTATCTTGGCCAATATCTTAGAAACTAATGTTGTTGAAATGGTATGAATGTATAATTTGACACAAAGGTGAAAAGGCATTTCTAAATTTAAAATCTGAATCGATTGAATGCAAGGCCACCCTTAAAAAATTCTTTGTTACATGTTTTAGACAAGAAAACAACGTTAAAGCAGGAAAAAATCTTTTAAAAAAAAATTGGAAACAGTTTGTGTCATAAAATTTTTCAGGTAGGTAGGCAACATTAAACAATTTAAATTTAATTTTTGGCCCAATGGATATAAAGTTTTAAAAGCTTTGAAGCTGATACTTAGTTTGGCTTATTGTTGTAATGGATATGTTATGGTGTTATTAGACATTCCAATTAAACATGGAAGGAAGACATACTGACACCACTTCTATGTCTTGACTTCCTTATGAATTGAGGGTTTTAGCAGATGTCTGTATGAAGCAAAATATCATCTGCATTGATGTACTATAGTTTGCCTCTGTTGCATGGAATTCTGTATTTAACTTTAACACACAAAAAAAATCATGATTATTTTGAAAACTAAGTGTTTATGTATAGCAGTGCAATATATATAATGTTCACAATTGTATAAATGTAAATATAAAACAAAATATTTGTAAATAATATTTTAATTGCTTCAGTCAGTGTTTTGACAAATTAATTCTGTGATTATTTTAAAAATGGTGAAATTGCTATTTCGATTCTGAAAGGAGTAGATGTGGTAAGTGCCCTATTATGTCCCAATTTGAAGTAAATTATTTCAGGCTGAAAAGCTTTTGAGGATGATGCATAAAAACCTATTGAAATTAGCCTGTTTTAATTGGTAGGAAATGAAAGTTATACTTATTTTTATTTCATGAAAAAAATGCCGATAAATTAATAGATAAAAAAAACAGCATTTCTCCTATCTATTCATTGTTTTAACTATGATGCATTGTAATAAAGGCCATTCAATAATAATTTGTAATTATAGGTAGTAGTAGGGGTCATATTGATCCTTATTGAACCTTTTCTTTTGTACAAGATGAGAAATAGAAAGCTTTACTTAGCCTTAAAATTCAAATGTATGCATGTATGATTATTAGACAATAGAACTTACTTTTTTTACTCGTATTTTTTTTATTAGTCAGGCTTTATGCTTTGAAGTATTGACATTTAATGAAAAAGATGTATATCTTAGATAGAATTCACCAGTGTAAATAACAACTTTCATTTGGAAAGAAATGTGTTGATGTATCAATTTTCCATAGTTTGTAAATATAAAATAAATATTTTATGTCAGAAATAATTGTCTTTTTTTTTAATTTGTTTGTCTTAATACAATAGTAGAGGTTTTAATTTATAATTTTGTTTGTAAAAGGTTCTGGGTTGTCCTTTCATCAACTTACTGGTCATTCATTTTCAATTCAAGGCCAAGAAACCTCATTACACTGTAGTTAATGTATTATTCAAGAAAAAAAGAGAATGTGTGAAATATTTGTAAGGTTTCTAAATGTAATCATTTAATGGTCAAAATACCAGAATCAAAGGCCAAGGCGGGAAACATTTAAAATTTTTAATTATTCTGACAAGTGAAATATTAAAAAAAAAGAAGACTTTTTTGATGGTCATGCAAGCATGAGAAATAGTTTGAATATTCTAGATGTTTATTTGGATTGTCAAAGTAATAAATTGCCATTTATTTCATGAGAAATGTGGTCATTGCTATTGGATAAGAAAGAATGTTGGGTAGAAAACATTTTCATGAAATATTACGAAACAACTACACATAAAAGTAATTGCACTATCATCAGTGTTCCCAGCTTCACATGTATTTGATCTTCAAAATGAGCTAATATGTGCACATCCAACTTCAAGACTCTCCTGAGCAGCACCCTTTGAACCTATTCAATGATACAAACAGGTTTTGTCCTGGCTGGACAAAGTAGAAAACGCCAGACTTAAACATGATTTTTTTTCTGGCAGTGTCAGCGTCGGCATCAACAATGTACTAGTTTGTGATTAGGTTAGTTAAAGGGGCACCACTGGTGGAAGGTCAATGATATTTAGTATGCAGCTGTATTGACATTGGCACATCTCATTTCCATGGATATTGTTAGTCCCTGCCCCCTCAGTCATGGTCTTTTGGTTTTGAAACTTTTGCATAGTCTACATGTTAAAGTTTGTGTTTAGGTCAGTTTTAAGGAAGGGAAACAAACACTTGTGAAATTTGGTATGCAATTGTATTAGTATTGGCATTTCTCATTTCCAAGATGGTTATTTGTCCCTGCACCTTCAGTTATGGTTCATTGACTTTTATTGTTTTGCACAATTTTAATTTCAAACAATTGCATCATACTATCAAAATTGAATAAAGACGAAATATATCACTGCGTCAACAATTTATTAGATACAAAGCGTAATCTATTGACCACATAAATACTGGTGCAGTCTCTTCGAATTGATTTTTTTGTCATTTCAAGCTTAACTAGTAAGTGTAAATGAAAATTATTCACAGTATCTGTTTCTTGGTATTTTTAAACATTGTTAAATTGCTTCTTTGTGGTAAAACATTTATTTTAAAGGTAAAAATCATGAGGACATTTGTTTTGTTGAATTGTTTTGTTTTTATTGTCTTGCCTGTGACGAAAGTCGCAGAGTGAGACAGGTATTACTATCCGGTGGCAGTGGCGGTGGCGTAAACTATTTCTATAAAGCTTTATATTTCAGAAGGTAGAAGACCTGGATGCTTCATACTTTGTATGCAGATACCTTATGTTACGAAGTTTCTGTCAGTCTTATGTCCATTGTCCTTGACCTCATTTTCATGGTTCAGCGACTGCTTGAAAAAAAATTATAGTTTTTTTGTTATGTGAATTTCTCACTTATGATGAGTAATAGGATAACTATATTTGGTATATGGGTTCATTGCAACGTCTACATGTCCGTCAGACAGGGTTCACCTGACCTCACCCTCATTTCCTGGATCAGTGATAAAGGTTAAAGTTACGTGATAAGGTCCGTTTCTCAGATACTATAAGCAGTAGGTCAGATGTGGTATGAGTGCCAATGAGACAACTCTCCATCCAAGTCAAAATTTATAAAAGTAAAACCATTATAGGTCACAGCACGGTCTTCAACACGGAGCCTTGGCTCACACCGAACAGTAAGCTATAAAGGGCCCCAAAAAATTACTAGTGTAAAACCATTCAAACGGGAAAACCAACGGTCTAATCTATAAAAAACGAGAAACACTTATGAACCACATCAACAAACGACAACTACTGAACATCAGATTCCTGACTTAGGACAGGTGCAAACAAATGCAGCGGGTTTAAACGTTTTAATGGTACCAAACCTTCACCCTTTTTCTGAAACAATAGTGTAACATCACAACATAGAAAGACACACTATAAAATATCAACTGAAATAGCTTAACTCAATCAAAGGACATATTAACACCATTGAACATACACTGAACAAATAAATTTGACCTATGACACAATGTAAATACAAAATAAATAAACTAAGGGAAGAATAATAAAAGTAACATGTTATATCGGTAAGAAATGTTAAACAATTAAAGAAAAACAATATGCTCGAACAAAAATACCATCCATTTGCAATAACTTTAAACACAGGTAAATGAAAATAATTTTGTTGTTAGGTATACGTGTACAGTACCAATAGAGAAAGGAAATATTTTTACAAAATAAATAATTTTGATACAAAATAAATAAACTAAGGGAAGAATAATAAAAGTAACATGTTATATCGGTAAGAAATGTTAAACAATTAAAGAAAAACAATATGCTCGAACAAAAATACCATTCATTTGCAATAACTTTAAACACAGGTAAATGAAAATAATTTTGTTGTTAGGTATACGTGTACAGTACCAATAGAGAAAGGAAATGTGGTGTATGGAATGATTGTAAGGGGTACATGTCAGTCTGGCAGGTTTCATCTGACCTTGACCTCATTTTTACCGTTCATTGGTCTATGTTAAGCTTTTGTGTTTTGGTCTGTTTTTCTAATACTATAAGCAATAGGTCAACTATATTTGGTGTATGGAATGATTGTAAGGTGTACATGTCTGTCTGGGAGGTGTCATTTGTCCTTGACCTCATTTTCATGGTTCATTGGTCAGTGTTAAGTTTTTGTGTTTTGGTATGTTTTTCTAATACTATAAGCAATAGGTCAACTATATTTGGTGTATGGAATGATTATAAGTTGTACATGTCTGTCTGGCAGGTGTCATTTGTCCTTGACCTCATTTTCATGGTTCATTGGTCAGAGTTAAGTTTTCCTGTTTAAGTCTGCTTCTTAGATACTATAAGCAATAAGGTCAACTATATTTGATGCATGGAATGATTGTAAGGGGTACTTGTCTGTCTGGCTTGGTCTATATGACCTTGACCTCATTTTCATGGATCATTGATAATTTTAAGTTTATGTGATACTTGTAGTAAAACTTTATCTTTAGGACTATCAACATAAAACCAATCATGGTTAGTAAGGCAGGCGAGACATTTCAGCGTGTGCACTCTTGTTCTATTTAAGAAGGACAATTAATCATTGATCCTTTTGCATATTCTGAGGTAAAGTTTACAACTCTGGTTTTGAATTATATAGATCTATGAGACTGTAAGCCAACAATACAAGTTAAATCAAAGTACTGAAGTACTGAACATCGGATGACCGCAAGTTATGTTGGATGATGAATAAATGACAGGCGGTAATATGATACCTGCCAGACAGGGTTCGCCTCTCAATTTCTTTCAAGCCCGCTCTTGTTGGAATGCGTTTTCGAGATATTCATCCGCAAACACAATTTT